ACGGGACATGCTGCGTACGTGACGGACCCCGGCGACTGACGTAAGTAGACTGGTCGCACCTAGCTACCATTGGTGAATTGAAACGCGTCTGCCTAGGTCTTGAGTGGGGCGCTCTCCCCCCTGAATACACGGACGGCGATAGGCGTGACTCAATCCTCAAAGTCCCCATGCCTTCTACGCTGGTCAACCGTCGCTCACCCTGGCTCAACGACCTCCTCCTCTCACCTCCGCCCCTCTGCGGCGAGCCCCCGTCCTCTCCCCTTCCTTGGCCCCGCCATCCGCCTTGCTCTTCCTCCTCCTCGTCGCGGCGCCGCATCGGTGTCAACGTCCCAAGCCTTACCGTATTCGGCATGGGACCCCGCGCTCGGCAGCAGGATCCCGGCCCCCGCGCTCAAGCGCCGGGTCGGCCGACGTTGAAAAAAAAAACGAACCGACGATGCTCTTGCTCTCTTTCTCTGTCTGTCTCCTCCCTTCCGTACACTCGCTTCCTTCTTCTTCCTCGTCTGTCTCTCTTCAACTCCTCCTCTTGTTTGTTTGTTGTCTTGCTCTAGAACAATCTCTCATTCCTCCTATGCCAAATACAAATGATGTAGCACGCATGAAATGATAAACTCTGTCTTTACTTGTGGTCCGCGCTGCCTACAAATGGGCGAGGTAGCCATACCTTCTGCCTACACACGGGCGAGAGAGGTAACCATACCCACTGCATTTTAACACACACACCCACATGTCGGTGATGAAACCTCAACCACACGCCTCTATCGTCGACCATGTCAGGAGGCAATCAATGATGAGAGAATGTTCTCCCGTGCCCTTTGCACATTTAACGACATGAAATTACACAAAATGGTAAGAAAACGGTGAGACCACTCCCGTCCCGTGTGTCCGCACATACTCCGAAATGTGTCCGCACATATGCATACTCCGTATACATATATATGCGTACCACACTGAAAATACGTTTGAAAACTGATGGAGATTACATGCCCTACGACTAACAGGGTGCTACACACGAAACGCCCGACTACCCACCAGTGCCCAACACCTTTCTGCTACACCTTCCCAACATAGCATATATGAGACACACAAGACAGCTACCAAACTGTTTTGTTGAGCCTATTACCCGCAGGGGAGATGTCCCTATATGCTGTCTGGGAAATCGTAGACATACAGGTAGCTATTTCTGACGTTATGAATTCATTGCTAATCTGTGTCTCTGACTCTTTTCTATGATAAAGATGGATTCGTTGTGTCATAATAAGAAAAAAAAAAAGTCCCTCGACCCCTTCCCGCCGCCCGTAGTGCTCGTCGGTTTAAAAAACCTCAGCAATGTATTCCTCTGACGCTTAGCTTCAGCACCACGCCTGCCTGCGGATGTGAGTAAATATTGATTGATCCGCCGTTGAGAGACGGAATAAGTATCTATTCGTTCTACTGTACATACTGTGTCAAGTTGCGTAGTAGGCGACGCATTCATTCGCACTTACATACATCGACAAAGCTGCATGCACGCGTTCATACTTTGCGCGACATGCGTGCAGCGAGGATGGACAAAGTAACGGGTCTTGCGAGGTCTTGAAATGTTGGTAAGCACAAGTGAGCAGTCCAAATTATACTCGAGTATGGAACTAACTGCGGACACCGACCGCCATCGCCCTCACACGTGTGCGGTCAACCTCTCGTGCTGGTTCACATGAAACTGTGGGTCAGCCCTTCACCGCGAAATCGTGCTGGCACGTGGTGCAAACCCAGTTGCCACTGCTATTATTCTTCCGAGCGATTTTCGCGACAGGCGAACGCGATCTGCTTGCATGCGATGGGCGTGCGGAAAGTGACAGGCAAGGGCAGGGGACACCGATGTAAAGGCCAGTTCTGCAGAGGCACGAATATCCCCGTGGCACACAGCCTTGTGGGTGGTGCCGGTCTGCATTATTATTTCGCGCATTTTTTTTCTCATTGATCAAACGTTGTCACAAGTTGTCATGTTGCTCAGCTACCGCGAAGCCGTTACCCCGAGCATGAGAGATATTTTGTACGCCGACCAGGCGGGAGAGTGCAACTACTGCAGGAGAGCCATTGCACAGTCACCCGCTGATTTCGACTGCGATCACGTCGTGCCCGTAAAATACGGCGGGGTCACTTGCCGGCAAATTTTGCAGCTTCTCTGCGTGTCTTGTGATAGATCAAAGAGTGCACTCGAGCGCCGCACGGGCGCATCCACTTTTGCCAGCAATTCCGTTCTCGTTAAAACTGAGCCTGGTTTCCCAGACGTAAAACCGGCTGACTTCCCGGGATTGGGGGCACAAGACGCCACGCCCTGCCGACAAACATGTGGACAAGAAAATCGCACGCCCCACGACAGTGTCAGCCGAGACGCGCAGGCTTTCTGTCGTGCCCGTGCTAGATGCACTCGTGAGGCACATTGGATTCAGTGGCCTCCAACGACACCACAACGGAGATATGCCTTCAACACGTAGACATGAAACACGCAGAGTGTAGGAAGCGTTTCAGGAAGCTCCGCAAGCTGATCGGTGGCAGCATGAGAAACAAAAAACTCAGTGGAATACTTGGACCGTGGCTCAATCGTTGTGCGGGGGTGAGGTTGGTACGTCGTCAGATGGGAAAGAAAAACAGGCGTAGCGTGTATATACGCTCTGCCCGTGCGCACGCGGGGGAGTGGAAAAGGAATGAGATAAGCAGTTAAATGACCCATGACGGGGGATGCGTGTGCTCCCCGAGCAGTGACGCACAAAGGGTCGTAACACCATCACGCCACACAGTGACACATGGGTCGTTTCGCATGGTGAGGTCCGCGCCGTCGTCGTGAATGTGTCTCTTCGTATTGTTCAACTCATGATTCATCCCCCTACCTCTTACGCTTCGCATTTTGCTTGTACACTCACACATGTTTACCTTCTATGGTCTCCGCGACACCATACAGCCTCTGAATCCCAGGCCAAAGGTAGATGCAACGCACCGCAGCTTTGTCGAACAGGGATCAACCGGTGCAGAAGCCGGGGGTTAGATTCGGGGACTACTCCAACGGAAGGGCGGGCTCATCCGCTTTTGGGTGGTTTCGAGGGCCAATACACCAACATCCAGTCAAAAGCCTTTTCGGTGATATCCGGCAGACACACGGGTCTCAACCGCTTTTGAATACGGTTTCAAGGGCCCACACACACACAGTCGAAGCCTCTGCTTAAGGGGCGCCCCCCCCCCACCCTCCAATACGGCACCGGCACGGCACAACTGTGAACGGGCCCGATGTAAGACTATTCATCACCCCAGTCCTTTGCCTTGATGCCCATTAAGATCGCTCTGAATGTGGTACGTTCCTTCGGCTCCCCACACCAGCAGGCCTTGGCGATGTACACGATGTCGGCAGGAGCGTCTACGTGGAACGAAGGCCGAACCCCCCTCAACACCGCCGTCAATATGTCGCGAGGACGGGTCTTTTTCGCCCAAGGCAGTTCTCTGCAGATTACCTCCCACACCACGATCCCAAAGCTGTAGACATCGCTCTCGTAAGAGCTTCCTTCTGACTCGAGCACCTGCGGATGAACGTTACAATACACCTCTTAGAATCGGCGGAGATGGACACATTATCGGTGGGACAGCGCCCCTTCCGGGCCAATCTGCGTGGTATCGGGCTTGCTTGTGGAATTTCGCCGCTTCTTCGACAGTCATCCACACACAAACAAGAGCCGGGCCAAGTCAACCCAACACTACTACCATCAACATTCGATGCACCAAGCCAGGAAGTAACTTTCGTTTTCAGGAAGACCATTTTCAATATCGCATAATATCGCGCTGTGTATCGCAAACAACATAGCTTGAGACTTCCAAGTAAATGGCGTTGAGACGAAAGCACGATTGAGTAGGTTATGAGGCAGAACTGCCGAAGGACTCAGACGTCAGGCAGCGACGCCCCAAAAAAGAAGCTCTGAACCGCATTCCGCGCGATCTTTGAAGGAGAAAGATGAATGGAGTCCATCTGTTGGTTGCTTTGAAATTGATGCCGTGCTAAATCCCCCCTCGACTTCAGCAACTACCCCTACTGTCAATCAGGTTCGGTGTGCTAGTATTATAGATGCAAGGGTTCCCAAATTCCCGAACCCGGACAATTCTCTGCAGTAACGTAAGTCCACCTCCTTTGGCCCGCCTTCAAGTGTCAAGACGTCCTTCTGCCGTCATCCGAGAGAAAAAATGGACAGGCACCCACAAATACAAGCAAATGCGACCCGAGCCGATTTCATGATTAACTAACGGTGAACGGTGCAGAATGCATACAACGAACGACTACAGTGGCCCCCGCGAAGGCTTAATTTCGAGCTTCACGAGGGCAAGGTTTGGCCGAACGGGCGATATTTGTCCATGCAATTTCGGCTACTTCAGACCCAACACGTATAGAGGTGCGAAAACTACGTACCTCCGGTGCGCTCCAGGCGATGCTCATCAGAGTGGTCTGGCTTGATCTGGTGGTGTACGTTGCCAGACCAGTGGAGTTTGTGGTCTGCGTCCACCGGGACGTACCGAAGTCCGCGATCTGCGACGAAAAACATGAAGGATCACATTGCACGAGTTCAATTTCCCGGAGGATCGAATCCGACCAAAAAACGCGATGTCTATGGTACATCTAGCGAAGTGTGCTCGGTGGTGTGAAGTTTTGTGCCGATGGGACTCGAGCATTCGGCAGCATGTACAGGCCTGTGTCGAGCCTACCGAAGGCAAACCCCAGAGGCGATTTTTTCGAGGAATCAGTACCGGCGTATCGAATGCTCGTTGACCGGATGGATGGTCCTGTACCGAACACAATCAAGTGTTCTGCTACATATGAAACTCAAGACCGGTAGTGGCACACGGCATACCGACGGCATGTTCATGCCGGAAGACAAGAAAAAATTCCCCGTCTTCAACCGATGGGTCTCGACGCCACTTACGTGCGAAAAACGTTCGTCGATTCAACTCAACTCTCCGACAGAACACGCATGTGCAAGACGGGAAAGACAAAACTTTGATAGGCGCGACAAACTTATGATGCGATCGGCGACAAAAACCACAGCGGCGGAACAAGCGAGGGTGGGCCTTCAAAAAAAGGACTTATCAAATGGGTTCCCTATGCCAACAGAATCACCTTCGCCCTGCCGTCGCCATCCAGAAGCACGTTAGCCGACTTGAGGTCGCCGTGGACGGTGTTCTTGCCGTGCAGGAAAGCCATGCCGGTGCAGATATCTCGGATGATTTGCCTTGACTGCTGCCCGGGGAGTGCCTTCTTGGACTTTCTTAGCAACGTGAGGAGATCTCCGCCGGCTAGCAGCTCCATGACGAGCACCATACGGTCTGGCAGAGATGTCACTGCTCCGTAGACGTTGACCGTGTTGAGGCTCCGCAGGCGGATCATGGCTTCCAGCTCACGCAAGAAAGCTCTGTGCTGGCTCGCCTCCCGCTGCTTTTGGGTCTCGTCAAGTGCGCCCGTTTGGGCGATATGCAGCACCTGCATTTGTATTCCAAACCCCAAACAGACATGATAGGAGCAACATTTGGGTCCGAAAGGGGGAAACCAAACCCACAGACCAAACGAACATGAAGAATGGTACAGGCCAGCCGGAGGAGACGGGCAAACGTGAGTCGATCAGGGTACATCCATCGACGAATATACATAAGGGTACATCCATCGAACCTAGGAATTGCGGCTTCGTCATCGATCAACCTGGTGTATTGGCGAGGAGGCACCTGACACCATGTTCCTCATCGTGCCCCGCAAATCGACGAGTAGCTTACATCGAAGCCGCTTAGAAATGATCTGTTGTATTTCCGGTCATGTGTGTGGTGGGGTCGTGTAGCACGAACCAATGACATTCCGCATAACCATCCAACCGCGTCTATCATTCAAGATGAGTCCATTTCACACCTTCGCCGCTGCATTGTGGCCGTTGTAGTCAGCCAGGTACACTTCGCCAAAGCCTCCCTTTCCCAGCAGCTCGTTTGTGATGGACAGGTATTCCGCAGGAATCTCGACTTGGTCAAGCTTGCGCTGCCGCTTGACGCGACGCGCCTCCGCCACGGACTCGGATGCAGCCTCCGAGAGGGAAAGCTGCCAAAACGAAGAGGCCACGACCGCACACAGTGGAAATACAACGAGGTCATCAGGTACGCTTGACCTGCTCAATATGCCGGGACAAACGCTACTCATGGAGTGCAACTAGATCGGTAACCCTGTTCGCTTGCGCCAAAAAGCAGTACCTGGTAGAGGTCAATTCCCTCCTTGACTGAGTCAAACTTATCCTTGACCGCGCCCACGTCTTGTCCAACTTGCAGCTGAAGCCCCAACTGGATGGCGGCAACCAGAAACCGGGGGGAAATGTGAGTTTAGCCTTCACAGGGTTAGTTCGTAGAGGACGTACACCCAAGCCCTAAGTTGCGCAAATGTCAGCACTCTTCGCAGCAGGGGACAACAGCCCGCTTGTGGCCCAGACGCTCAAGAGACTTCGCTCACCTGCAGCCGCATCATTGCTTGGTCCACTATGGCGTTAAGCTCCTCTTGGCGCCGCTTGAAAAGCGTCGACATGAACAACCTTGAAAGCTTGTTCTTGCTTTGGTAGGTTTTTATTAGCTGCACTAGATCGAAGATGGCCCCGTGCACGTCTTCAATCATCCCACGCGCCACCTCACCGATCGTGTCCCCGCCCTGGACAACAAGGTTCCGTGCAAAGAGGCCACAAGGCAAGGCAACGGTTGTGCACAGTTTCGACATCCGTGAACGAATGCTCAAACGGCTTGTGATAAAAATTGTGGAATTCACCGAGCAGAATGTGAAACTCTCCAAACTCCAAATATACCCTAGCTTTGTCAACTCGTCGTGAAAAGAGGCCACACGGCGGGTGTGGCAGCAACGCAGCAGCCTGTACGTTCGATGTACAGCTCAGACGAAGCGCTATCAACTCACCTTATCGGCCACCTTCGCCGCTCGCTTGAGCGCCATAACGACCGTGCTGCACTGCCGAAGTCTTGATTCACTCGCTCTGGCGTTGTCGCGGCCATCCGTCACCAGGTTCGCCATCATGCACACCGCTGTCGCCGCCTCGCTGACGCCAGGGATCTGGCAATGATGCGCCAGTTCTTGGGCTGCCTCGAAGACGGCGCGGCCAAGCCCGATGTCGGCCGAGTTTTGGTCGTCAGCTGCTGAGGAGGCTCCAGGGCCGCCGCTGGAGGCTTCTTCGGGTTTGAGTTCGCCGGAGACCGGCGCGGCATCCTCTACGCGTTCTCTCTGGTGAAATTGGGAAAGCTCGTCCCGCTCCGCTGTCGACAGATTGGCAGTGGAAGTTGTAGCAGTGGTGGCTGCCGGCAACTTCTCCGCTGGGCCAGCGCTGGCGAGCCGAGCACGACAATCTTTGGCAGCATGTTCAGCGCTCGCCTCCACCTCGCCGGCGAGTGCAGATGCTGCTGGGAGCGGGACGATGCCTTCCCTATCAACTCCGTCGGCTTCCATCGTCAGTGCTTTGCGACAAAGCGATGCGTTGTCCTGGTGGGAAGGCGCCATGTCGTTTCCGTTGCCTGCGACAACCACTGCTGAGTATGGAGGGGGGACGACGTCCGGCTGCTGTTCGCCGCCGTGCTCGACGTTGCCGTCGTCGTGGGTGGGAGGAGCCGCGGACATTTTAGTCGTTTTCTGCCTTGAGGCTCGCCGCATCCTCAAGAACACAGCGAGTGCGATGAGGGCCGCCCCAGCAACTGCAGAAACTATCCCCGCTACGGTAGGTGTAGAGTCGGGGGTCGACGTTTGTTCGGGAGTAGACGTAGTTACAGGACTGGTGGTTGAGGTGACGCCCAATGAAGGGGCTGGTGTTGGGGGCGGCGAAGTTGCTGCGAGTTACAGAGTCGGCGCGGCAGTCGGCATCGGGGGTGTGAAAGCAGAACATACGGTCAAATCGATTGCGACGCACGGAGTCTTTTATGAAGCCTGCGGCGAACGCCGGAAACCCATGGGTGCAAAGGGGAAAGCAGGACATGTATGCCGAGACCCGGAATTTCAGTAAAACGTTGTTTTATTTTTCGCTGATTTCAAAACCCAGTAAAAAGACAAGCATAAATTCCGGGAGCTGTCAAAATCCAGAATCTGAAGTGACTGATCAAGCTCATTATATGATACCGACGAATCCAGCAGAGCTTTTCTCGTCTGCTGACCTGGCATTCTTTTGGAGGACGGGTTGGCAAGAAAAAGACAAAGTCCGCGTGGGACGATGAGCCTTGATGTGGGTGTTTATAGGTTGAGGAACAATTACAACCCAAACCTGCACCATGAGCAAAGTGCATCCTCTTCAAGGGATATCAACGCTAGCTCATCAGCGGTTCAACGGGAAAAATGCATCGCTAGACCGAATACTGACGGCATATTTAATGCACAGGAGGGAGAGTTGCGACATAAACTTGCAGCTGCAGGCACACCTTCGGGAAACAGCCGGTCGGTGAAAAAGAAAATGAAAAAATTGTGGTCACACTTGAGACAAAAGTTTCCGACCGCTTCGCAGTGGTGTCAGACACCCGACCAAGCAAGCGGGCACGCGACCCACCAAGCTCTTGCCCTTGCATATTTTGACGAAGATATTTTGAAATAACAAGCGGGGACGGGACCACGACAGATGGCCTACCTCCTGAGCTCGATTCAGGTGCCGGCGAAGCAAACTCCGGTACAGGCGCTTTAATTTCCGCGGTAGGCGTTGGTTCAAGAACAGGCGCAAAGTCGGAATATTAGAAAAGAGTGAGGCACAAGAGCAAGAGTTGCACGATCAAGTGACGCTTGCACACACAACTTCGGGAAACCACCGACGAATCAATCCGTGCTCATTCGGTAGGGAGACGTGGCCATGAACGAGAAAGTGATGCACTCTTGCCACAGACGGCTACCATTGCGACCCATTCAGTACGTTGACAGCTAGCATCGCCCCGGTGGTCTATTATATATATATATATAATAGTTGGTATCCTCGAAACCTTCTAGAGGTCAGGTCAGGGGTTCGAAGCCCGGCGTAAGCGAGCTTCCTTGTAAGGTGAGTTTTTCTCTCGCTTCCGCTTCTGGACTAGTGGATAGCGCTAGTTCGTGTGTACACAGAGGGAAGAGAGTGCTGAACTCTTCTCGCATTTAAAATCGTAGGCAAAGTACCGCAGGAGGGGAGGGTACAGAGGGGCTCTTCTGTGTGACCACGGGTTGGAGTAAAACGGCACTAGTGTTGTGAGCGCTGATTAGAAGTGAAGACAAAAAAAAAAAAAAGGCAAGCAAAAACAACCGTATCCACGCTTCGCAAGGCCCCGGCCGCTTTTGTCTTACCACAGGTATATCCCACGGGTCCAGGAGTACAAGCTTCCTCGCCGCACACGTTGTCGGTCACGTTTGCAACGGAACACCCTGGGAACGTCCACGGTAAAATTAGCTCCGCTTTCAGTCGCACGGTTGTAAACGATTTGGTGTTTTGACACGGAAAAAACATTGCCAACATCCATCGCCCGGCAATGACAATCCGAACATCAAGCTGGTGCAACGAGGTGCGTTGGTTCAGAACATTGAACTGTCAACAAGAGCAACGACCACAGCACTCCACTCGCAGAGCAGATCCTTCGGAATTCCGTTTCAGGTCGGGGGGAACAGGTTGCAAATGCGCCTTTTTCGCCGCGGCGACATGCATCTCATGTACGGCGCAGCTGCGGAAACGCTTTTTCCAGGCGATGTCACAGCGGAAGCAACAGCGATCTGTCCGGAACATGGGGCGCCGCCGTGTCACGTTTCGCTTCGCTGCACCGTTCACCATGGGGGCCGATATCCACGTGTCCGCACCCGTCCAACATAACCACTCACCGCACTCGTCGCCGTACAAGTCCACATGAAGTCCGTCGGCGACATCAGAGGCATCATCATCGACTTCCACCCTGCCATTTTTAGCGCAGAAGGTTGTCATGATGCAGATGTCAACACAGAAGTTAACGTCGAGCTGACGATGCAAGGAAGCAGTGTCCAACGCAAAGAGTTGGGACAGCTCAATTGCGCGATCGAAATTCATCGCACGTCGGAACGTCCAGGACGACGCTGAAGCTAGAGTGATATTCGCTGCCTAGTATTGCGTTGATCTTGCCGCCCAAAATGTCGGGTTCCTCACAATATTGACGTGGCCAAGCACTCCAGCTCGTTCCCGTCCAGTTTCCTTGAAATCACAAGCCGGCACCGGGAAAGTGTGGCCGACGCGGGATCATGCACAGACGAACGGCCCACGCAGGCACCAGACGATGTCGATGGGAGGGATTAGCGTGGTGATTGTCACCCAACACATCACAGTCGCAACCGCTCAGCCACGATGACCACAGCATCACGACGATGAGTCAGTGTCAAACTTCAGTCTACCCATGGGCCATCACTTGATCTACCTTCTAGTGAATGTGCGCCAAGAGAAACTCTCTACAAAAGAGGGCGCAGCGGAGAAAGACGTTGGACCTGATATGTTTGATCGGAATACCGAACGCACCTCGTGAGAGGACTCAATCCGTGGACTGCGGCTAGTGGGCATCCCGCCTGTACAACATTCGGTTCAGGTGTAGAGGCAAGGCCCCACGTCGCGCTCTTAGATGATCCCGGCTACGTCGTCTACCGACCTGACCTCGAGCTACTCACCGCAACAGGAGAAGTTGGAAAAAAGTATATATATATATATATGAAGCGACATGCTTTCGCATGAGAACATGGTCTGAAGATTTCGCGTAAGAATGGCGCGTTTCATTTCGAAGGGCACACAATCGCGCCTTCACAGCATACATTCAAAAGGAATTTTTTGCTGATGTTTGGTGTTCCCTCTTGAACAGTCTCGATCTGCACGAGCAAGCATCCCCGTGTCGTACAGCAACTCACAGCAGTTCCAGCGCCGTCAAGCCCTCGAAGATCCCCGCCGGCAGGGTGGTGAGGGCGTTGCTGCTCAGCCACCTTCCGGTGTCGGGGAAGCGACCAACGGAGCACACAAGACAACTCAGTAAGCCAGGAAAAGTCATCAGCACTGCCGTACATGCCACGACCAGCCCACCCATGTGCACGGACGACGCTCGGATACACTGATGGTTGAACCAACCACTCGCAACCGACGGCATCGATCATTCGAGCCGGCGGCCGGACCTCAGCTGCAATGGGTCAGAGGGAGACCGCGTACGCTCTAGGCATCGCAGGGCTCTCCAATCAAAGCCATCACATGGCATATGCGACTGCCCAGCCCGGGTGAAAAATTGTGCGGACGTCCTCTCCGCAGCAACCAAACGTGCACCGACAACAGTCGTTAAAATTTCGTGTTTGCTCTATAGAACGCAGAAGGACACCCCGCGTCGTACAGCAACTCACAGAGATCCCAGCGGCGTCAAGCCCTCGAAGATCCCCGCCGGTAGGGTGGTGAGAGCGTTGCTGCTCAGAGACCTTCCGGTGTCGGGGAAGCGACCAACGGAGCACACAAGACACCCGAGTAAGCCAGGAAAAGTCATCAGCACTGCCGTACATGCCACGACCAGCCCACCCATGTGCACGGACGACGCTCGGATACACTGATGGTTGAACCAACCACTCGCAACTGACGGCATCGATCATTCGAGCCGGCGGCCGGACCTCAGCTGCAATGGGTCAGAGAGGGAGATCGGGTACGCTCTAGGCATCGCAGGGCTCTCCAATCAAGCCATCACGTGGCATATGCGACTGCCCAGCCCAAGTGAAAAATTGTGCGGACGTCCTCTCCAAAGCAACCAAACGTGCACCGACAACAGTCGTTAAAATTTCGTGTTTGCTCTATAGAACACAAGAAATACGCCCCCGCGTCGTACAGCAACTCACAGACTGTTCAGCGCCGTCAAGCCCTCGAAGATCCCCTCCAGCAGGGTGGTGAGGGCGTTGCTGCTCAGAGACCTTCCGGTGTCGGGAAAGCGACCAACGGAGCACACAAGACACCCGAGTAAGCCAGGAAAAGTCATCAGCACTGCCGTACATGCCACGACCAGCCCACCCATGTGCACGGACGACGCTCGGATACACTGATGGTTGAACCAACCACTCGCAACCGACGGCATCGATCATTCGAGCCGGCGGCTAGACCTCAGAGGCAATGGGTTAGAGAGGGAGATCGGGTACGCTCTAGGCATCGCAGGGCTCTCCAATCAAAGCCATCACGTGGCATACGCGACTGCCCAGCCCGGGTGAAAAATTGTGCGGACGTCCTCTCCACAGCAACCAAACGTGAACCGACAACAGTCGTTAAAATTTCGTGTTCGCTCTATAGAACGCAGAAAGACACCCCTGCGTCGTACAGCAACTCACAGACTGTTCAGCGCCGTCAAGCCCTCGAAGATCCCCGCCGGCAGGGTGGTGAGAGCGTTGCTGGTCAGCCACCTTCCGGTGTCGGGGAAGCGACCAACGGAGCACACAAGACAACTCAGTAAGCCAGGAAAAGTCATCAGCACTGCCGTACATGCCACGACCAGCCCACCCATGTGCACGGACGACGCTCGGATACACTGATGGTTGAATCAACCACTCGCAACCGACGGCATCGATCATTCGAGCCGGCGGCCGGGCCTCAGCTGCAATGGGTTAGAGAGGGAGATCGGGTACGCTCTAGGCATCGCAGGGCTCTCCAATCAAAGCCATCACGTGGCATATGCGACTGCCCAGCCCGGGTGAAAAATTGTGCGGACGTCCTCTCCACAGCAACCAAACGTGAACCGACAACAGTCGTTAAAATTTCGTGTTCGCTCTATAGAACGCAGAAAGACACCCCCGTGTCCTACAGCAACTTACAGAGCGTCGAGCACCGTCAAGCCCTCGAAGATCCCCGCCGGCAGGGTGGTGAGGGCGTTGCTGCTCAGCCACCTTCCGGTGTCGGGGAAGCGACCAACGGAGCACACAAGACACCCCAGTAAGCCGGGAAAAATCATCAGCACTGCCGTACACGCCACGACCAGCCCACCCATGTGCACGGACGACGCTCGGATACACTGATGGTTGAACCAACCACTGGTAATCGAGGGGATCCAACGAACAGACCGAAATATTTTCGCGCATGGCTCGTAACCAGATTCACAACATGACGGGAGTTATCCATCGAGCGCTGTAAGTGAAGCAATTCGTCACGCACATGGTTAACGGACCATCCCGCGAGTCATGGCACTCACAGTTCCACGACCAGTTCTCGCCCTGCGTTGTCCAGGCATGACGCGAGATCACCCCCGTCGACGTCTTCATCAGTTATACCGCAGTCGTTGAGACGCCTAGGGCATGATCGCACAAGAAAAACAAATGGAGGGTCATGTCTTGATCAGTCCGCGGCACGGTGACGTACTGCAATTCTAGGGCGGTGGGAATGCCTCGCGAACATGCTGTAAAATGCTGCCGAAACGTATTTCAAAGAGGCAAAGTGGAATTCAATGATACTGCAAGGCATTCGCTAAGCCAGCTCAAACGTTCTGCGTCCGTCCACGCCGAGTACAGAAAAAATAATCATGCCAGCGACATCTCAATTGTGGTCTTCGCAGCGTAAGAGCCAGAGGCAGACTCACAGATCTCCGTCTTCATCGACCTCACAGCTGTAGTCGGCGTCGGTAGGATCGAGGCACGGACTAACTGCAGCGAACAGAGCACGCAAAGCGGGAGGGCGACGAAGGGTTGTTCCAAGCTTTGAAACAGGATCGAGTTTGCTAGAACCGCTAGTTCGTAGCCGACACGGCATCGAACCACCAGATCGTACCCACGTATGATGACCGAAGCGAACCATTGAATTCCTGGTAGCATCCACCTACCTGCGGATGCGCCAGACAGGGCGCAGAAAGCCGGCAGAAGGACCATGAATGCCTCCATGCCCCGAACCCGCGTAAGCTGCTCGAGTCGGGGGAGAACAAGACGTCATACAGCAGCGCAAAAGTGAGATGTAAGATATGCCCCTCGTGTTGCTGAACGCGTGGGAGCAAATATACAAATAAACTAAGAGGGACGAGACTTGGGACCCACTTCGTGCAGTCAGGCAAGCCAAACGGTGTGCAATATTGGGGCTGGCTGCTGATGGCGTGTGGCGAGTTAGTTTTTGCTGAACTTCAATCTTAAAATCGTGGGTAGTGTGGGTGTGTTGAAAACATCTGCTGAAGGCGTTATCTTGCAACATCGCGTGTACATATGCGTTTCAGGTTTCGGCCTCGGGCCTTCTATCAAAGTATGTACGATTGTTTACGAAGTTTGATGCTGCTGCACATTTGTGGGTCAGCCTACTTTGATTTCCAAAAGCATCGATGTCTTTGTCTCAGGTGCATGCCTGAGAAAAAGACGAGTTGGTGCGACCATCCATCGAGACCACGCCATCGATGATGTCATGTTCGGCAGATGGTGTACCTACCCCAACTTTGTACATTTTGGGATGCTGGGGTTGCTCGTACAAGGTAGGCCAGATTGGTACAGTGAGTTCAAGTCGTTACGAACACCCCGCTTTGAGACACAAAAAAGATTTGGGGGTACCGAGGCGGGAAGCCCTGGCCACACACAACGCATCACCTCTCGTGCATACAAAAGATATATATGCTGTCTGGGAAACCGTAGACATACAGGTACTTTCTGACGCTATGAAATCATTGCTAATCTGTCTCAGACTCTTTTCTATGATAGAGATGGATTCGTTGTGTCATATTAAGAAAAAAAAGAAAAAAGACGCTGATCGCAACTCTCACATCGCGGCTCAACTTTTTTCGAGCCGATTTCGCACCTTTCTGTCACCCCACAAGCGACGTTGTCACCCCCCCCCCATCTCCGAACCACGGCATTTCCTTGCACGCGAAATGCTACGGAGCGCAGGCGAAAGTAATCCAGCTCATCAAACGCGAACAACTCTGACGTGTTTGCGCCGCTCACCACGTCGGAGTTTACGTTTTATCCACGCGCTCTTACCTTTTGCGGTTTGCAGACGGCTCTTTTCACGCTTCCTCCTGTGGCCGCTGATATCTTCGGGTTGCTTCGCGTGCCTTCGCGCACCTCCGCTAGGTAAGGGTACCGTGAGTGCGTTGTCTGCAAACCCGCTTTGTCTCGCTTCCTCCGGCGCCCGAAACTCTGCCATAGATAGCAGGGATTATTCTACTGCCATAAAAGAAAACGCCCGCAGAACCACTCCACAAACCCATACATTTGGTTCTACAGCCAGCAGAGCAGAGTCGAGCAGAGGAGCAGAACTGGCAGAAAGGGTATCGCAGCAGCACGCGCTGACACGAGATACCCAAGGCACGACCTCTTCAGGCACGATCAGAGTACCACCCGTTGGTGCGGAGGACACTACTGCACTGTTTTCCTCTCCGCCGAAAGCACCGTCACCAGCATGGAGGCTGCCGCCACCCCGCGAGGGATGGCGCGGGAGGGAAGACCCGGAGGCCCTGGGGCCGGGGGAAAAAAAAGCTATGAACATGGACGATAAGGGACCTGCTTAAAACGCCAGCCTAATTTGGGGAAATACCGCCGCCTCCCCGGAGTTTTAAAGCATGGTGCTAAAAGTTTCCCCCCAAAAACCCCCAATCCCATTTCGCAAAAACTGAAGGGGGAAAAGCGTACCAAGAAGGAGCAATTTCGGGCCCGGAAATGAAACCCCCCA